TCCTTTTAAGCGTGCGGGTGAGGACCCACAGTCAGGCACCCCGTTTTGTATCGGGGTTGCTCTACAACACTTCCATCTTTTAACCAACACAAGGCATTTGGGGCTTTAAATTCAGCCATTCAGGCCCCTTTTTTTTTTCCCCAACACATTTTATCTCAGTATCTCATCTTACTTTAAATTTACATTTCCCGGGCCTTCCTGGTGGTGCAAGAATTTACGTCTCAGCACCATGAAGCTATCCGCAGCCACTGCAGCACCCCAGCCAGGGAGGTGACTCACATGGCATAGCAGACCTCTCCTGTCTCCCCACTGCTCCCCTCAGCAGTGTATTTCAGTAAATCTGCCTGTTCTGCTCCCCACTCTCCCTGGTGAATCTTCTCATCCGCCCCCACACCTCTGGCCTGCACCCCAGTTCGTGCATGCATAAATAAATAAATCTTAAAAAAAAACTTGCATTTCCCTGATAACTAAGTTTAATATGTCATTTGTGTTAAATAGGTCTGATATCTTGGTGTGCTTCTATTTTGAATTATGTATTGAAGTCATTTGTTCATTTTAGATTATTTTGGATTATTCTGAGTTGTAGACTTTTGGATTATTCTGAGTTGTAGAAGTTCTTTACATATTCTGAAAATAAGTCCCTGGTCAGATAAATATCATAAAAGTACTTTCTTCAATTGAATTGATGTCTTATTTATCTCCCCCCACCCCAATGGCATATTTTTTGATTGAGGTAATGCTGGTTTGCAACACAGCATTCTATCAGAGGTTTAGGGTCACACCTCATGGCTGCTTGTCACTACCCCCCACCCACCAACAAGTCACCTTCAGCTCTTCACCCAAACCACTGAGTTATGAAAGTGAAAGTTTTAATTTTGCTGAAGACTAGTTTATCAACTGTTGATTGACTTTGATGTCTTTTTTTAAAGATTTATTTATTTATTTTAAGCATAGAACTGGGGTGTAGGTAGAGGTGGGGGGTGAGAGGCTGCACCAGACAGAGTGGGGAGCAGAACAGGCAGATCTACTGAAATCCACTGCTGAGGGGAGCAGAGGGGAGACAGGAGAGGTCTGCTGCGCCATGTGGGTCAGTGGCCTGGCCAGGGATCAAACTCAGGTCTTAGTGGTGATAGCAATGACACTTAACCCCTAGGCAACCGGGGAGGCCCTGATTTTGATATCTTTGTGGAAACATAACTTTCATATAAAAAAGCACATAATTTAATAAATTTTGATACATGTACACAGCTGTGAATCTGTGAAAACACTAGCATTGAAGATAAGGGCCACAGCCCACCCCCCCAGTCTCCCCGCCCACCACGTGGGGCCTCTGGACTCCCCTCTTCCCAGGCAGCCAGTCATACAGTCAGCGTATTGATTATTACTAAACTCTATTGATCAGTTTTCATCTTGTGGACTTTTATATAAACAGAATCACACACTATTTACTCTTTATTTGTCTGACCAGTTTCGCTCAGTGTAATAATTTTGACATCCTTCCGTGCTGTTGGTATATCTGTAACTTGTTATTTTATTTCCATGCTGTTGCCTGTTATATGGCAAAGGCAACATTGGTTTATTCATCCCCATATAGACAGAGCCTGCGTGGCTTCGGGGTTTGGATTACTACAAAGAGAGCTGCTACAAATATCTGTGCACAACTTTGGTTTCACACTTTCATTTTTGAAATACTTCAGATTAGAATATTGGGGTCATAGGTTAGGTGCTTGTTTAACTTTTAATGAAATCCTGAGTCAGGGCACCATTTTCTATTCCCATCAGCATTTCCTGAGAGTTCCCTCTTTATCATATCCTTACCTATATTCGGTATGACACGTACAGTGTTCTTTAATTTTAGACATACTAATACGTGTGTACATCATGATCTTAATTTGTATTTTCTCAGTGATTAATGATGTTAAGTATTTGTTCACGTGCCTGTTTTCCATATGTTTAGTCTTTGAAGTGTCTATTCAAACCATATGCCCAATTTTTAATTGAGTCTTTAGCTACTATTGATGGCTGAGATTTCTTTGTATTTTCTGAAGTCGAGTTCTTGATCAAATCAAAAATTTGAATTTTCCAGTCATTTCTGTCTGTGTCTTTGTCTTTTTATTTTGTAAACACTGTCTACCAAAGAATATGATTCTGAATTTTGGTCAAGTCCAGTTTACTAATATTTTCTTATGTCTGTCAAGTTTTTGATGCTGTCAGTGAAAAAACTTTGCCTGACTCAAGGTCATACATATTGTCACTCTGTTTTTCTAGTTTCTAGTTTTATAGCTTTAGATTTTGCAATTACATATATAATCCAATTAGAATTAGTTTTAGCATCTTGAGAGAAGTGAAAATCTAAGTATACATTTGCAAAGGGATATTCAAATTTTCTAGTAACATCCATTGAAAGTTTATGTTTGCCATTGAATTGACTTTGTAACTATCAAAAGAGCTGACTATATGCTTATATCTCAATTCCCTTTTCTGTTTCATTGATTTATTTATACTTACACCACCAGCATACTATCATGATTAACAGTGTTTTATAAAGTTTTGAAGTCAGATAGCTTAAACTCTCAAATCCTGTCCTTGTTAGTTCAGCCTGTTTTAGATACTCTAGGTTCTTTGCATTATCAAATAAATTTTGAATCTGCTTCTTAATTTTTAGAAAATGCTATGCTGGAATTTTGATGATGTTTACATGGAAACTATGGAATATTTTGTGGAGAACTGAAATTTTAAAATATTGAATCTTTTAAATTCTGTAAATCTCTCCATTTATTTAAAGATTTTACATTTCTTTACCAAGATTTCAGCTTATAGATGGTCAGATTTATCCACAAATATTTCAACCTTTGGTGCTACAGTAAATGGCATTATTTGAATTTTAATTTCTGATTGATTTACACTACCGATTTACCCCATAGGAATAGAAGTGGCCTGAATGTAAATCCTAACCTGCCAACTTGCCTAAGAATTAGAGACAAACCCAAAAGCAGACATGCAGAGAAATAAGAGGGGAATTTTTTTTAAAGGGAGCAAGAGAGAAAAATAAATTAATTGGCCAACACATGGTCAAATACCATCCATCCTGCTAGCAAGCAATACCAGGGGGCCAGTAGGGACCACAGAAACAAGAAGAGACCCCAGATGCATGTGCATTCAGTTATACACCAAGCAAGGTTGCCTGACCCTGCCCTAGGCCCTGTGCTCAGGGAATCCAGGTTAAGCCTCCTGGGACTTGTGGCTCAAGGAAGCTGTATGGAAGTAGGGGTGGTGAAGATGGCACCTCCCCTTACGATCCCCCCATTTCATCTTCTATTCCCACCTTTCTATGGTGTTGAAGGTTTGGGGGTGCAGCCTTCAGACACAGTCTTTTCCAAGGGTTCCAGTGTGTTCAGCCATGAGGTATGGTCCAAGAATGGCCAGTGAGATGAGGGGAGACACCATGTTCCTGGCCTCCACTTTGCTGGGAACCCAGCAGCACTCCCTGGGAGAAGGGAACAAGCAGAGGCACAGCAGGAAGATCCACACCTTAAGGCCGAGGCTTGCAAAAGCAGAGTCAGGCAGTGCCCTGAAGGGCATCTAGAAGCGCTACCTTCTTCACTAAGGTCCTCAGGCCGCACCTCTCAGGAGTATAACTCGCAGCCTCGGCACAGGAGCTACTGAACATGATGCTCCAGCTGAGTCACTAGTGCTGGGGACGTTTCATGGACCTGTGCTCTTCCACAGTCAGCCATTGACAGCTGCCCCAGAGTTCCAAGACAATTAGTCACTGCTGGAAAGGTTGTCCTGTTAGCCAGAGGCCAAGCACGATGAAGAAATGAGATTTTAGAAACACAGGAAATGAAAATGGATAAGTCTTTAATAATCGGGATGCAAGAGGAAAATGTCTGATCTGGGCATCTGACCCAGCTGCCTGTATCCACCTTTGCAATTTTCTAAGTGTAGCTAGATTTTTAATGTTACTAACATAGCATCTCTTTTGTGTCAAGGGACTGATGTTAGTATTTCAGGCTCACCACAACATAAGATCCCTATATATCGTTCCCATCTCTGTCTCTGTCTCTGTCTCTGTCCCTGAGAAAGCAGCCATACACAAAATGTGAATGAATGAATGTGACTATGCGACTGTTTCAATAAAACGTTATTGGGCCATGGTTCCCCAACACATGTTTTAAGAAAATGAATGTGCATGCTTTGTGTCTTCCCCTTGGTTATCATAAATGCATTTGTTCTGATCAATTGCCTGTTGGGTCATTTCTCGAGACTGGATTAAAGGCTAGAGTTTGTAAATGTAGCTAAGAGCACCAATCATTTTGGCAAGGGTAAAATAAGAAAAAAAAATCTCCCTCTACTCTCTGTCCCACAAATGCTATTAATTCCTTGAAAATGTACATAGCAACACCAAATACTAGGTTCCAGAAATATAACTTTGCTCTAGGGTTTGGAGATCATCTCATTTTTAAATTTTGTCATCAGGACTTCCATAGTAGAGTCATTTTGTATGTACTGTAACCTCATTTGACTTCAAAAAGAAGACTTGATGTTGAACTAAAACAAATTCTTATGCTGTGAAGGAACTAAAGTCATTCCAGGAAAAGACAGTCCAGCCAACAGGAACTCCACCTTCTGGATGAATCTTAGCAAAGCAGGAAACTGGAAAGGACTCTTTTGAATCTTTATCTGAAAGGGCTAAGGCATCGAATTTGGAGCTTTAACTTTTCAACATTTTGAAATCTTTGGGTTTTAAATTACAACAGGATTTAATCTTTGGATTTTAATGTGCTCAAGAGGATTTTGTGATGAGTGTGGGATTGTTTACATGAAAGTTTAGAGCATCTCTTTTTTGGCACCCCTGAGATATCAACATAATGTCATTTGATTTTGTTGAAGAAACCTGTGAGAGCTGATATTGACCCTGTGGCAGGACATATTTCAAGATGGGCAGCAGAACAGCAAGGAGGCTTCAATGCTGGATCTAAAAAGACCTTGAAAATGAAGTGATTCCCCCGTGGCATTAGCTGGTCTCCCAGGGTGGTTCCAGGCTGACGCTGCCCACACTTCACCTCACCTTCTCTCTGTCTTCCTCTCTTCTCCAAACTCTTACTGGTGTTTTGGTTTGTCTGTTTCTTTGTTTGTTATCCACCAAATGAAATTTTTATTTCACCGTCTGGTTGGGGGTGGCACAAATTAGGACAATTAATATTGATTGAATGAACGGATACATAAGTACACATCCCTCATGTTTGATTTAGGGCCAGGGGAGACTGGAAACAATCAGGGAAAAAAAAAAAAAAAACCAGATGGTAACAGGCCTGTTTTCATAAGGTCTGCCTCTCCACCCTTTGGCATCCCCATCCCTTGACCAGTTCTGCTGGACTATCTTGGTGTCTTTCTTTAGTTTCCTTCCTCTAGCTTGTCTCATTGTTTCTTTAATCTTCATTCAAAGTCCATTATTAAAAGAATTATTCAAAAGAAAATATCAGATGGCAACTTTTATAGTAACTATGCAATCCCTTCTTGGACATGCTGAGTGTCTCTTAAACACCAAATGCTTGGGGTAAATCTGAGAACCAAGCTGATGCAAGAGGTCCTTGTGGGGTCAAACAGTTTAAATCGTAGTTCAGAAACCAGAGGACTCACTAGAGAACAGGCACTGTGAGAGGGGCACTGGCCTCCCTTGCTATAAATCACAGTTCCTGTCAGAACTCTGCTATCCAGAAGAGCACTTCCTAGGCTAGCAAAAGTAAATAAATAAATCATGACTCTCTTGATTTTGAGGCTAATTCACGAGGCGATCGTGCGGCCTGATTAACTAGATGTGCCAGACAGACGTATCTACCCTTGAACCACAATTTCCTCCAGCCCCCAGGATGTACTCAGGCCTCTTAGGAGCTGCCTCTCCCAGCTTACTTTCCTCTTTTTCTTCTTTCTCTGAATCATACATGCTTTGACTAGCATCAATCCTTTGAGAACACTTCTCAAGGAGATTTCTTCTCCGGCCCACTCTCCCCCAGGTTTGTATAGGTTACTTAATGGTGCAATTAATTATTGCTTTATGACCAGATGAAAGGTTCTTTATTTGTTATTTCCTCGGATTTTTTTTCCTGGTTGAGGGAGATGCTATGAATCATTTTTTCTAACCCAAAGGAGAAGAAATTGGACTTTGATAAAGGTCAGGGAAAGAGATCAGGAGGGAGGGAAATTCATTGATTATCTCCCTTGGCACCTTTGTTGCCTTTTGAAAAAACAGAAATCTGTCAGAGTGAAAAATTTTAAAATAACATGTGTTCATGCTGAAAACATAAGCTGCATTAGCAAAATGTTAGATTTTTTTCCCCCCTTTTCTGCAAGCATTTTCTGTAGTAGGCAGAGGTGATAGCTTCAAAGTGAGCCTGGAGATCAGCCCTTGCAAGACCAATTGCTGAGATTTTCTGTAATAAGCCAAGTTTGATTCAAGATTTGTCGCTGCTTATGCATCCCAACATATTTTTCTTGCCCCTGCTTATTATAGATGGAAACACATGCAACCCTAAATCTGCCTGAGAATTTTTTTTTAAAACTCTCTTTAACCTAAGAAGGGGGTCATTGTACAGTAAGGAATAAGCCATTTATACAGTAGGGGGGATGATCTCAATGCACAAACAATAATAGTGGTGGAATTAAAAGCATCATAAGCTAATACCTCTGCAAGCTGATTGACGCACTGAGTCAAGCATATTTTGGGGACAAGTGCTGATCTTCTCTGTCAGTCAGGTTTTGCTGTGAAAGTAAAGAGACAGACAGACTGTCACAGACATTGCCGTAGTCAACGCTGATTGCTCTAACAAAAAGCTATGGTATAGAAGATTTAAACCACTAACATATACTTCTTTTAATTTTGGAGGCTGGAAAGTCAAAGGTAAAGGTGCCAGCAGATCTGAGAAGTAACTTCTTTTTTGTGTGCAGAAGGCCACAGTTACATTGAGAGAGAGAGACCTTACAGCTCTTCCTCTTTTTGAAGGTGGTGATAATACTCAAGACTCCTACTTAAATGAAGTCAGGAGATTAGAGGGTGTCCATGCACAAGCGAACCAGCAAACTGCAAGACCCAGCCTGCCTTGCTTCCTTCACTGTGGTGACTTTCTTTTCCTCTCTGAGGCAGAAGTCATCCAGGAGTGACTTAGGGGGTGGTCAGTCTTGGATTTAGCTTTTCAAACAATTGACTGCTCTGGTTGGTGACGAGCAGACACTAATTCCCATCATAAGGACCCAACCTTCATGAGCTAACAAACTCTAATTCACTCCCAAAGGCCCCTCCTCCAAACACCATCATATTGGAGATCAGGATTTCAATATATGAGTTGCCCAACATGGGAACATTCCACCCAAGTCAGACATGTGCCTTGAGAACTGCCCTTTCTCTCATACATTTGCCAGTCCATTGGGATTTGGTGGACTCAGGCACAACCAGCTGGGTCTGCCACCAAGATGGGTTGGGTTCCATGCCACATGCCTCTGCTTCTCCTTGGGTCAGGGGTTAACTGAGGCATGTTCTTCTGGTGATAAAAGAAGCTTAAGTAAAGATGCTCAACCACATAATAACATTCACATGCTTTGTTGAATCACCTCTGCTGACAACCACAGATCAAAGCAAATCAAATAAGCCAGTCCCCAAATTATGAAGATTGGAAATATCACCCATTCAATATGGAAGTCAGAAGTGAGGAATAAGTATATTCTGAAGCATAGCTGATCTATGAAACTTTTCTACTCGGGGAAATATTCACTGATTATTCTACCTTTTCCTTCTTGAAAAATCAAGAAATTTGGGGCCTTTCTTGTGGCATAAGGGGTTAAGGTGCAGCACTATGAAGCTATCTGCAACCACTGCAGCATGGGTTTGATCCCTGGCCAGGGAGTTGATCCACATGGCTCAGCAGACCTCTCCTGTCTCCCCGCTGCTGCCCTCAGCAGTGTATTTCAGTCCATCTGCCTGTTCTGCTCCCCATTCTGTCTCTGGTGAATCCTCTCAACCCCCACACCTCTGGCCTGTATCCCAGTTCTTGTGTGCCTAAATAAATAAATCTTTAAAAAAAAAGTCAAGAAATTTGTACTTCTTTTCCCCTTCCTTGTCCTCAAGATTTTGGCAAGTGTATAGAATTGCACATAGATCCTTCTATTGTCATGTATTTGTTTATGTATCAGTCTTTCATTCTAGAGGACATCAAGAATGTTTTATTCTTCCCTGTGTACACAGGCATCAGTACATCCAAGAAATATTTATTAGCTAGATGGACTATCTGATGAGTGCAAATAGAATTGCATGATGCTTCATTTTCTCAGAAATGCAATGAATTATAGTTTAATGCTTTTATAAATCCCACCTTCTCATAGATTAAACTGAATAAAATGCTCAGAATACACAAAACACCCAATAAACATTAACTGTTCCTATTACTACTATTATTACATTTCAATTTAAGAGGCTTAATCTGAACCTATATCACTATTTTTACTTAAATAAATTCCTTGTCACTGCTATGATTTACTTTGCCTATTAAAATGCCAATTATTGGGCCTCCCCTGGTGGTACAGCGCTTGAGTGCTGAGCTGCGAAGCTGCCCACAGCCTCTGCAGCGCCGGTTTGATTCCCAGCCACCGGCGAGGGTCCCACATGGCGGACAGACCTCTCCTGCTGCGCCCGGTGCTCCCCTCAGCAGAGTATTTCGTCCTTCTGCCTGTTCTGCTCCCCGCTCTGGCTCTGGTGAATTCTTTCACCCTCCCGTGCTTCTGACTGTACCCAGTGATTGTATAAATAAATAAATAAATCTTTAAAAAATTAAAAAAACGCCAATTATTTCTACTAATTGGCAGCTGAAATCAGGTTGAAAAAAAGAGCAGAAATTAAATACCAGTTACAAAACATTTGCACCACTTCCCATGCAAACTTAACTTCCTGTGTAAGTTTCTAGTTTTATAAGAATATAATCTTTTTATGTGGAAGACAAATTTGATTTGTTCATAGGAACATTATGAGCCGTGCCTCTGGATCATAATCATACAGATATTGAGGAACTAGAAAGTAGAGGTCACGTAGAAATGACTTGGGGTTTGAAGTCCTTTTGGGGGATGCACAACTATTGCACCAGCCCATGGGGAGAATCAAAGAAGCTAGATATTGGTTTCCCTGCCCTTTCTGGTGTGCTGAAGTGAGGATGAGGCTGAGCAATAAGAAAGTGCAGTTGATGGGTTTTGCTGATGGAATATGCTCTGGGAGGTACAAAGCTAAAACAGTGTTAATTCGTGCATTGGTGAGAGTGAAGGAATAGCTGTTAAGTAGGGAGAATAGGTTTAATAAAGGTTGCTTGAAGTTTTGATATTGCTGCTGTTTTTATCTTAAGCTGGCTATCCCTCAGAGAGAATGCCCAGGTTAAGACAACTCAAGGGAAACAGACCTCAAGCAAAATGTGGAGTCTCATTTGGATGGGGCTAGATAGAATTTTATAGAATAAAAGGTTAGATATGGGACTATCAAAGCTACTGGAAATTCAGGGACAATATAGTTCAAAAGGGGAAGAGCTAAAGTCTGCATATAAATTCATTGCAATTCTTATCGACAAATGCATGTGCACAGATAATATAGCCAAGGAATCCTGTTGAAAATAACAGCAAGGAGACAAAAAATAGTTCAACATAATTAGCAACAATTGTCTAGTGATTTTGAATACTTGACAAGCTCCTCAAACACTCCATTAAAAACTAATAAGGGATATGACTTAAGAGTAAGGGCATTATAAGACTAAGCCTTAAACACTAAGACTAAGGCAAAATTTAAGCAGTGCTCAAAATCCTAAATCCAAGTTGCCAAATCACTATGAATAATCCATCAATAATTTAGTTAACATTCTGCAAATAAAGTCTAAAGAACTCCAGATCTCTCAGTTTATAGTTCACATCATCAAAACAGAAGAAAATACCACCAAATATGCAGAAAACATAACCTACAGTCAAGAAAAAAAGGTCAAGAAAAACAGACCTAACCACATCTCAAATGTTGAAATTAGAAGACAAGGATCATAGATATTTTAAAGTATTTTGTTGGAAAAATGCCCAAGAATTTTCAGGAAGAGACAGGGAAAATATGGAAATTCTTTTTTAAAAAAAGATTTATTTTTATTAATTTATGCATACAAAAGCTGGGGTGTAGTCCAGAGGTGTGGGAGGATAGGGTAAGAGAACTCATCAGAGACAAAGTGGGGAGCAGAACAGGCAGACTGACGAAATACACTGCTGAGGGGAGCAGCGGGTGAGACAGGAGAGGTCTGCCACGCCATGTGGGAATCTCCCTGGCTGGCTGGGAATCGAACTGTCACTGCAGAGGCTGTGGACAGCTTCACAGCTCTGCGTTCAAATGTGTTGTGCCACCAAGGGAAGAAGCCCATAGACATTCTCAATAGCCAAATGAAACACCTAGAACTAAAATGTGCCATAACGGAAATAAATAGAAGATGGCTTTACATTAGTTTGGACAATGTATAAAAATGGATTATGGATTGGAAGGTAACATAAAACAATTTAAACTGAAAGCAAATGACTCCAAAATGCTAGGGTACTGTCTAACAGTGTCACACATGTGGTCTTAGAAATCTGTAATAAGATAAGGTAAATGGGGCAAGAAAATATGTTTCAAGAAATAATCGACAAACTATTTTCAACTTCAAATTTTAAAATTCCAATTTCAAAACTACTAGCACAGAGATCAGTGAATCACAAGGAGGATAAATACAGAGAAAAATACATGCCAGGATATTTCATTGCAAAACTGCTGAAAACCATCTTTAACGCAACTATAGGAGAAAAATGATGTGTCTCATACTGGTATGAATCACAGCTAATGTATTATCATATAAGGTGTAGAATTTCTAAAGTGGAACAGAATTTTTAAAGTGATATAATTAAAAAGAAATCTTGTTGAATTAAATTTCCTGTGGCCCCAAAGGACTTCTATTCAGCAGAATTACATTAATTAATTAAAAACAAAATTGCAAGCTATTGACATGCTCACCTATGTTGATGAACTTAAGAAATACATTGGTAAGCGATGGATATTTAGATCTACTTGAGCTAAATTTTTCTTTGCAATGACCCCTGGAAAGTTCAACAATAATGCCTATACTCCAAGTGTCACCCTCGCCATCAGCAACACAAGGCAAAAGACTCAGACCACCGACAGAAGAGAAAGCGACAGTGTCGCTGAGCGCTTCACTCTGACCTTGTCACCAATAGTCAAGTCAGTGGTATCTGAGGCCTCAATGCTGAGCATGGGCTGTTTGAACATGGAAAAGCTTTTACAATCAAGATGGTACCAACTGAGGGGATGGAAGCCCAAGCTCAAATCTACCACCACCATCCCCCAAAGAGGGGTCTTAGGGCTCTTCAGGGAAGGGATTGCTCGGGTCAGGGAACAGGATATTAGTTACTTAAGGAAAAGGCTTCCAGGAACTAGACATCTTGGTGTTGAGTCATTTTTTTAAGCAACCACAGGGTTATTCTGTCCAGTTGGTTTCTGTGAAACAAGCTCCTTCATCATTTCCTTGGAAACTAGAAGTGAAAGACCCTAACACAAAGCAGCAGTAAATCTATTTGCTTAGACTTTAATTCTTGTGCAATTGAATCTACCAGACTGATCCCCAATCTTCATTTACTGGCTGAGTGACGCTGGGGCAGTTACTTAACCTCTCTCTGTATTTTTGGTTTTTTATCTGCATATGAGGAATAATAGCAAGAGGAAGAGCGAAGTGTTATAAAGACATGGTGAGATTTAATTAACATAAAGCCCTGGCAGTGGCGCTTGGCCGACATACGCCCCGTGTAGGTATTAATACCATTATCTCAGGGCACCCTGTTACTATGACGATCAGCCCAGTGTTTGCTGGATAGCCCTGAAAGGAGGGATTCCACCAATGCGTGTCACTATAATGTGTTGGACTTTATATTTTTACGACTCACAAGGTTTCTATAATATTGTGAGTTTCTCGAGATTATGGGGGCAGCAGGGGCAGAGTCCATCCTGAATCCGCTCATCCAACTCACATTTCAGTGTTTTTCTCATCTCTTGTTTTCAATCAAAAATACAAGGTCAGTGGGGCACAGACTTGTGGGCTGCACATGAGGGAGGGTCGGCTCAGGGCCAGCGGGAGCCTCCTGTGCCATCTCCGAGCTGGCCACTCGGTGCAGAGTGACTTCCTCTGTGGTGCTGTGACCTTCGTAAACCGATGCCTGGGATTGCTTGAATAAGAACTAGCTCTGTAAATACTGCACAGAAAATTAAGTGTCAGTGGATTAAACCGAAGTCATTGTCACAGAGCTCCAAAGCTTCCTTGACATTGAACAAGTGACATTAGCTGTGAGCCTCGGGATCTTCAGCGGTGATGAAACAACCTGGCGCATTTCTGGGAGGAAATGGGATGGCTGTTCTCTGCTGGGTAACCACTGGTCGCCTTTCCCTTTCATTTCATCCTGGAAACGTTACCAGGCTGCAGTTGGTTTTAGATATGAATGATTGGTGCCAGGTAAGCCCTGAAGATGGAACCTGATACTCAGGATAGGTGGTGTAGACACTTGAGTTCCAGCAGGGGTAAGGGGGTGCGGCTTGGGGACGATGGCAGAAAAGACAGGCAAAGCCTGCCAGGATCCAGGGGACCGCTCAGATCATGTTGCAGAGTCTCCCCCTAGCCACAGACCAGAGTCTGAATCAAATTTGAAAAAGCCTTTATTAGTCAGCCGGCCACTGACCCTCTCGCAGGAAGCCGCCCCGAGCAGAGGGTGACAAGAGTTTTTAAAGCCGAAAACCGTATCTGGGAGTTTGCAGGTGCCAAAGCAAGCGGGACTACAGAAGGAAAAAACAGGCAATTACAAGCAGCAAAGCGTGTCACCATATCCTGGGTTCCCAGTGATGGAGTTTTGCAGAGTGTGGGGTCCTTGGGTTCACGCTGGCAACGGTGTCACCAGAGCTCCCCTTTCAGCAGCACGCTGCGAGTGTCTCCACCAGGCAGAGACAGTAGTGAATTTAAAGGTCAGGTTTATTAGAAAAGGGATAGGATAGTAAGACTTGCACAGACACAAGCGGGCAGGAAGAGCTGCCCCTTAGTGGGGGTGTTACAGGGAGAGGGGCACCCCAGACCCCCCAAAACCTGCCTGCTCTAAATAGGTTCTGCCATCCACCACATCCACACAAAACACATGAGGCTTCCTTCCTCAGTCTCCTCTGCAGCTTCTTCTCTCTGCTCAGCTCCACCCTCCTTTTGGGTAGGGCAGGAAACCTGGAACCTCCCCCTTTCCTGGGGACCCCCCTGTTACAATCCCCCCTTTTAATTTTTATTCCACCATATCTACGGTGGCACAGATCTCAGGGTATAGTCTTAGGAGACAGTCTTTTTTTTTTCAGGGTTACAATGTGTGTAAGAGAAGCAACAATTAGGCAGCAGCATTGTCCATGAATGTCCAGTATGACAGTTCTCCATTACTGGAAAATAGTCCATGATCCAAGCCAAAAGGAAAAAAAAAATCTGGAGGCATTAGCCAAAACAAGACAGCAAATATATCAAAATCACAGGGGAAAAAAATCTTAAAATTGGTTGAACTTATGTAAAAAATAAAAAGTTTTCTCAACCTTGATCCCAAATTGTTTCAACAGCGTAGCAAATTTTGCAAACTGCATCTACTTTTAAACCATATTACTACCTATTTTTGCATAAAATCACAGGGCAGAATAACTAAACAGCAATTTTGGCTGGCTTTGTTGGAATACTCCATGTAGGATCAGAGCGAACTCTTGACATCTGGTCCATGTAGGCTTCAGAGCAAAGTGGGTCTCACCAGTCTCCACCTGGGCTTCCTCTTCTCGAGGGTACTAGGACTTCTTCGCTTGCCGGCTTGTCCAGTCCTGCCAATGGAAGCAAGCTTCCTTACCTTTGGAGATCTCTGGAACACTACGAACAAAGCAAGAGGTTCTCCTCTCTTGGTTCAGCTGTTTCAACTTCCTGGAAGAACTCCACTCAAAACCACACAATGAAACTTATATCCAATTTTTTTTTTTAGTTTAATCAGACAAAATCCCTTTGGAAGTTATGCAAAAATAGAAACTGACATGAGTAGTAAAAAAATTACTACCACTATTTTCATGCTGTGTTGGTATCAAGGGGAGAGAAAATGCAAACACAAGTTAGCTCTGCTGAAAAAAAGAAAAAAATAATCATTTAACATTGCTGCAGGTCCTGGTCAGTCAAAACAAGAAAACTTTGTTGAATCAGAACAGAATGCAACAAAATTTCCAGCATTATGTCAAAACTCAGTAAAAATCAGGTGTATATCCAACAGTCTATTCAGTGCTTTGTAGGAAATTTTTTAACTCATCAAAAGTTCCATCAACAGGAATCTGAGGAGGCCTTTCCACTCTATTTTTTACAGAAACAATTTCTGTAGATATCAAACAACTAAAGTATACAATATTACAAGGCGACAATCACCACTGACAATTTACATACATATCAGGTACTGAGAGGTTTTGTACACATTTTAGAAAACCAGTGTTAACATTTCTGTACATACCAAAGTTTTATCATTTTCCCAAGTGACAATGCTTCCCTTCTAGTGTTACTTTACCAGGGAAGCCAAATAGGGCAAATTCATCTCATGCCTTTCCCAGGAGGAAAGGGAGAAACTCTGTGGAGTGTCTCTGGAGCTCTACTGAGGTTCTACAAACTTTCCTTAGATCAACCACATGACAGGCTACCAAATTTTGACTTGAATTTAGATTTTTAGGAAGCTTTGCCAAAAACATCAGAAAACAACAGCAACAACAATATTAAATGTCTGTGAAGGCACCAACTTAGTTCAGTAGGACAATGTTGACAAACCATAACCTTTGGTTTTTTCTAATAACTAAAGACTTTTTTTCATTGTCTATAGGCACCATGTATACCAATTTTTCAATATCCTGAAGCCAAGACAGTTAGACATAAGGACATACAGACGTACAACATATAGACAGTTTTTCAGTTATGACACTTGGAATCTTAGGTAACTGCAGTTTAACTCCATAGGTTGAGAAAAAAATGTCAAAGTCCAAAAAAATGTGGAGTGTTGATGGCAGAAATCATAGGTTACAGCTGTCATCTTACAAACCTAAGGCTTTGGAAATAGGTAGAAAAAGTTTTAATAATCACAAGAGTTACATGAACTTGTTTATCACTTTAAGGTTTTTAGTGTTCAACCCTTTTTATTAGAAGCCAATCCTGGGGTATCCTGTACAGCAGCTGAAAGAGCAAAATCAACAGTTAACTTGTAAGCAAAAGGAGTCATCTCTCGTTAGCCACCAAGCAGGCAATCCTTGGGTTTCCTGGAACAGAACCTGAAAAAGCAAAATCAAAATATCAGCAATTAACTTTCAATTAAAAGGAGTCATCTCCTTACTTCTGTAAGCCACTCTGGGACAGAAGCTGAAAGACAAATTCAACATCAAAGCACAGATGACACCTCCCCCACACTAGGGAGGGGCAGCAACAACACAGGTATGGAAACCTGGTACAGTTACCTGAGGCACCACAGAGAGTGCTTTCCACAACAGACCTTCCTCAGTAGGAAGCAGAAACTTAGAATCTTGTCTTACACCAGCAATTAAATCCAGAATTCCAATGGCAAACATGCCCAGAACAAATTGTGTAGACAAAATTCACAGCAGCAAATCCTTTCAGACGCAGACAAAATTTTGTTAATTTTTCTGATCCAGACTTGACAAAACTTCAAGTTATCTCCAAGAATCCATCAAGGCTACCAGCAAATACCAGTTACTGCTTAAGGCTACTCTTTCCTTAACAGCCAGGCATACATTTGCTAATTTAAACACCACTGCTCCTCAGTTGGCTTGCAAAACCCTTCAGTCAGAGGTCAGGAAGCAGTCAAAGTCAAAGCAACCTATCATGGAAGAATCATTATTGCCTTTAGAAATGCTAATGAAACCTCAGCGATCACAATAAGAAAAAAGGTCCAAAGTCCTAGCAACAAGAACCTCTGAGTTTTACTAGAGCCTGCCAAGTGGCCTCAGATGCCATCTTTGCCCTGGCCACATGGTCCAACGTACTACCTAATCTTTTGAGTCAAACTGTTGCACAGAACAATTTCCACAAAATCAAATCTCTTAGCAAGTCACTACAAACAAATTACCCACACAGACACACTGAATCTTCACAAAGCCCAAGCCAGTTTTTTGACAGCAAATCTACATATGAAACAAACACACTAGAGAAACCAAAAATCACATTTGCGCTTATGGTAGCCAGTGCCATAGGGAAGCCCAGAGTCCTCATGGGGCTGACTAACCACGGATGGCTCTGTCCTAAATCACGGTGGGCGCCAAATCTGTTCAGAGCAGGGAGAGGGGCAGCCCAGGCCCAGCAAACCTGCCTGCTCTAAATAGGTTCTGCCATCCGCTGCATCAACACAAAACATGAGACTTTAATGGGAAGGAACTTTAATGCAATTAGGAAACAATACAGGAAAGGCAAAGAATATAGTTTCTTTTTTTTTGTTTTGTTTTGTTTTTTTTGTTTTTTTTGTTGTTTTTTATCTTTATATTCCCCATACAATTGCAGCCCCCCCATTCTGACCCCAATCCCTCCCCTCCCGCCCCCGCCCCCCTAAAAGTGTCTCTGGTTCATAGTTTTTTGTTGATTTTGATTTTCACTTTCTTATAGTGTTATAGGTCGCCAAATCTGTTATAGGACAGGGAGAGGGTCAGCCCAAACCCCGCAAACCTGCCTATTCTAAATGGGTTCTGCCATCCGCCGCATCAACACAAAACATATAAGACTTTAATGGGAAGGAACTTTAATAAAACTAGGAAACAATACAGGTAAGGCAAAGAGTCTAGTTTCTAAATGAAGCACCCAAAGTTACCCGTCCCCTCGTGGGTAAAAGTCCATCCAAATGGGATTGGCCCAGAGCAAAGCCCCAAAGCCTGCCCCAAGTCTAAAGCATCTTCCAGTGGGGACCCACAGAAAAGGGTCAGAAACAACCAAACAAGCCCGGAAGGAAAAGAGCAAAATCAACATCAAGATAAAAACTGCCATTGTCACCTCCCCACGGGTCTCACCCACATCTGTGTCACCCAGTCCACGACCAAAAGACAAGCGCAGTTTCTTCACGTGTCTCTAGGCTCCATGCGCCTCCTCCAGGTCTCCTGGCTCCATCCTGCTTCCTTCCTCAGTCTCTTCTGCAGCTTCTCCTCTTCCTGCTCAGCTCCACCCTCCCTTGGGTGGGGCAGGGAACCTCCCTCTTTCCTGGGACCACCCTGTTACAATAGTTACTCCTTTTCCTGGTCCCTTATTTAAGTTTTCTAGATTCCTGCTATGAGTGAGACCATCCGGTATTTTTCTTTTTCTTTTTGGCTTATTTCGCTGAGCATGATCCCTTCCAGCGCCATCCATGTTGCTGCAAATTGCATGTGTTTATCTTTTTTGAATGAAGAATATAGTTTCTAAATCAAGCACCCAAAGTGACCCGTCCCCTCGTGGGTAAAAGTCCACCCGAGCAGGATTGGCCCAGAGCAAGGCCCCAAAGCCTGTCACAAGTCTACAGCATCTTCCAGTGGGGACCCACAGAAAAAGGTCAGAAACAACCAGAGAAGTCTGGAAGGAAAAGAGCAAAACCAAAATCAAGACAAAACCTCCACTGTCACCTCCCCAGGGGTCTCACCCACATCTGTGTCACCCTGTCCATGACCACAAGGCCAGCACAGTTTCCTCACGTGTCTCTCGGCTCCACGTGCCTCCTCCAGGTCTCCTGGCTCCATCCTGCTTCCTTCCTCAGTCTCCTCTGCAGCTTCTTCTCTCCCTGCTCAGCTCCACCCTCCTTTTGCGTGGGGCAGGAAACCTGGAACCTCCCCCTTTCCTGGGGACCCCCTGTGACAGGGGCAAAGTGAGGTTTCATCCTCTCTTTTGGTGGGGAGGGGCTCATCTATGGGAGTGGTCAGATTATTAGTTTTTTGCCAATTTTGGACAACTATGTAAAACCGGGAAGGGACCAGAGATTCCAGAGTGGGGAGCGGAGATTCCAGGGTAGGCCCAATGGCTCCACTCCCTATAGCAGTCTGATCTTGCTTGGGCCTTATGTCTTGTGATAAGGCCCTGGTGCCTGAGTGTCAGGACCTCTAAGTTAGGTGAATGGCCATGTTATTTTCTTCTACCCCCACCTCCTTGTGTGTCAGGTTCTGGTCCTGGGGCACCTCCTTTCCAGTCTTTCTGTTCTGTCCTCCATCACCAGTGCAGAGGACACATGCAGCTTGTTTTTCTGACAGGAACCGGCCTCTATGGTTTTGGACTGGAATTATCCTAAATTGCCCTTCTGAGCCGGCCTAAGCTTAGGCCTTAAGGGATCTGCTACATTTTACAATCACAGACTCTGGATTCTGAGGTTGGGGTCCTGCTACATCTACATATGTCTGGCTAACTTATTTAAATCTAATACAACTTCCTCAACTGTAAAGATAATATTATTATCTACTAAGTTTTGTGTCAAGTAGATAACTTAGTGACTATGGTGTGGAGAGCAGAGTGCCCGGCACAAAATGATATATTCAGCCCCTCTGAGCTATTATCGACAATGCACTTTTCTTACCAGATCTGTGTATAAAAGCAGAGCACCTTCAGGGGCCTCTGGATATATTCATAAAGAAAATCAACGTCAGTGTGTTTCTCTGGTACTACCAAGAGAATGAATCCCGGATCAGCCTTCTGAACCACCCATCTGGGTTTAACCCTATAGAAAACTTCACCAAAATGAGCAACACTTCCCTAACACTTAAGACCAATAGGGGTGCAGGTGTTCTTTGGAATTGATGTTTCTGTGTCCTTTGGGTAAATACCTAGGAGTGGAATTGCTGGATCATATGGAAGCTCTATGTTTAGTAGGTCCAGAAATCTCCACACAGCTCTCCATAGTGGTTCGGACCAGTTTGCACTCCCACCAGTAGTGCAGGAGAGTTCCTTTTTCTCCACACCCTCGCCAACATTTGTTGTTGCTAGTTTTTTTAATACGTGCCATTCTCACTGGTGTAAGATGGTATCTCATGGTAGTTTTGATTTGCATTTCCCTGATTACAAGTGATGTTGAACATTTTTTCATATGTCTGTTGGCCATTTGCATTTCCTCTTCAGAGAAGTTTCTTTTTAGCTCTTCTGCCCATTTTTTGACTGGGTTATTTTCTTTCTTGTTGTTGAGTCTCATCAGCTCTTTGCAGATTTTTGTGATCAGTCCTTTATCATGAGTGTTGGGTGCAAAAATGTTCTCCCAGTTGGTGGGGTTTCTCTTTGTTTTTGTTATTGTCTCTTTTGCTGTGCAGAAGCTCTTTAATTTGATGTAGTGCCAGCTGTTTATCTTTGCCTTCACTATCACTGCTTTGGGTGATGTGTCTGTAAAGATGTCTTTGATGTGCAAATCCCGTAGTGTTTCACCTATATTTCCTTCTATGTATTTTATAGCAGCACTATCTACAATAGCTAAGCTTTGGAAACAGCCCAAATGCCCAAAAATAGATGACTGGATTAAGAAGATGTGGTACATATATACCATGGAATATTACTCAGCATTCAAAAAAGATAAACACATGCAATTTGCAGCAACATGGATGGCGCTGGAAGGGATCATGCTCAGCGAAATAAGCCAAAAAGAAAAAGAAAAATACCGGATGGTCTCACTCATAGCAGGAATCTAGAAAACTTAAATAAGGGATCAGGAAAATGAATAACTATAAGAAAGTCAAAATCAAAATCAACAAAAAACTATGAACCAGAGACACTTTTTGGGGGGTGGGGGCCGGGAGGGGAGGGATTGGGGTCAGAATGGGGCATGTGCAGTTGTATGGGGGAATATAAAAATAAAATTTATTATTTAAAAAAAAAAAAAAAAAAACAAGCTGAGTCAGTTTCTAGGCTTCTCTGCTCCTACCAGCACACATTCAATGTAGGTTGAATGAAAAAATGTGTTTCTCACTGGCTGTTTGCAATGCTTTTGTATTCGACTAATAAAGTGGGTTTGCAAAGTGCTTACATCACAACAAGGAGCATGTAAATTGCCCTTAAGTGGCCAGGCCCTGCTTGGCTATCACTGTGACACGGTGGGTGATGTTTACTAAGTTCCAAGTGTAGGCAGCATTGGTTGAAACTTTTTTGTTAATTCTCAAAAACCCTAGGACGCTGGTATTATTATTATTCCCCTTTTACAGATGAGAACATTGAGCCATAGTGAAGTACATAGAGAAGTTCAAGAGGTAAGGCCAGCATATGAGTACAGCCAAGTCTCACTGCAGAAAGCTCCAGATCTCAGCATTACGAGGCAATAGGAATTCTGAGTTTAATTATTTTTAAATCACTGGTTTTAAACCAGGAAAAAAAATTACCATTTCAAATATGAGCAAGGAAGCTGGGAAATACTGAGCATACTGGTGTACCTTTGTACAAATAATAACCAGTTAGAAAATAGAACAAAAAAATCACATTTCTCAACAACAGCCACAGGAATAAACAAATGCATACCTTTGGGACTTCAGGGATTCAGAAAACACATGAATAAAATTCGGGGCTCTATTGAGGAATGTAAGAGG